GCTCCTGCCCCGGCGTCCCTCGAAGATCACCATCTAGTTTCCTTTCACCTTTCCTAAAGAATTTCCACCCATGGCACCTCTTCACCCCTCCCCCGCCCCCCCCAATTTAGAACCCCCTGAGGGTGTTTAATTGCTCTGGGTACCCATCCAGTCCCTGGTGCAGAACAACCAGCCCCAGCTCATTTTGGCCCTGGAGACAGGGGACTGATGTACCTGCAATGTAACACTGCCTTCCCTACCCCCTGAGCAATGTACTGTGACAGAGATTACAAGCACTGTACTACATACGTAGTGCAAGATACGCAGCGTAGTTGCAGACAAATACTAGCTTTAGGTACGTACATCAGTGGCCTTCTTCTCAGCCTGCTCTAGTTTTTCCTGGGCATCTTTGAGCGCCTCGGAGTACTTATCCAGCTCATCTTCGGTTCCTTTCAACTTCTTCTGCAGTGCCATCAGCTCATCCTCTACCTTTCAAGAAAAAAAACCCAAAACACAACAAAGTGACTGTTCTGATGTATTAACAGTTCCAGTTTAGTATGGTTAAAACCTCTCTTTACTATCAGTTTCAACCTAACATAACATACAAAGAGTAACAAAAGACCAGATCAAAGTTCTGCTGGGGCAAGTAGTCTGAGAAGGACCAGTAGCAGTTGCCAAGGAAGGATCATTGGAAACATACCCTCCTTGGAGCAGCATTCCCTGCCACAGCACACGGAGGATCTGGTTTAATACATAACTTGATGTAAGCCCTTTTTCACCTCATTTCTGTTTTGGACTCAACACCCTGCAGCAGTTAAGTTTTACAGTGTAATTGTAGATGTTTTAAAATGAAGTCCTTGTGTTTGTTCTAACACTACCTGATGATTTATTAGGAAACTCGTCAATTCCTGTATAGCCAGTGGCCATTCCCTAATCACCATTTCATGTTGTTCAGGACACTTCAAGCCCAATGGGATACTCTGGAAGCAGGGAGGAGCAGACCCTGCTGTAAGCTGGAGGTGGGACTTGATGACCTCGGAGGTCCCTTCCAGCCTCAATTATTCCCTTACTAACTGGGGCCCAGCAAGGTCTGCCCCATCTTCCTGCAAAGTCCAGCTTTCTCCTCCATACCATATAAATCCAGGCAGTACAACACTAGAATGGAACTATTTATAACCTGCCAGGAGACTGTTTAATGACAAACTGCCTCATGCTCCCTGAAGAATTTACATTATCAGGAGGCTTGCTGCTGATAAGGGTGTGCCTGCAAACCCATCTGCTCCATCATTTCATTTGCAATACAAAACACTTCAGTCTGGAGAGAAACCCATTTAACCATTTAGCTCTGCCTTCACATAAATGTAGTCTATCAAAATAGTTCACTCAAAATAGTTTGTGTTTGAGTGCACTGACTGTTTTTATTCTAGCTTCAAGGATAGCTTGAATGACATTTTTGGTAGTGTGCTATTCTTGAATGTTGTGATGTTGCTACACTTTTACTCCGAGTAACCAGGCAGTGTGAGAGAACTGACTGTGCTTGCCTGGATGTTTTAACAGAGGGACAGTGAGCAGCACGAAGGAGGTGATGCTTCCTTTGTGTATGCCATTAAAATCACTACTCAAGTACTGTGCCCACAGAAAGAAAAAAAGCAAGCTGAAAGATTTGAGACGACTCAGAAAAGAAGGGTAAGATCAAAGATTGATTTTTCTCTTTCAGCTCTTCATTGTGAATTATCCTCATATAGGTACTTGAAAATTCCCACAAGTGTGTCATTTATCACTCTGTAGGAAATCACCTTTGAGAACTAAATGTAAAGGAAGGCTAAGCATTCAATCACCATTAACTGCTCTGAAGAACAGTCTGCTGTGGCTGTTACTGAGTGCAGGAAGATTAGTGGGTGGAACTGAGGCCCAACAGAACAGCATCTGATCAGCACTTCTGAAGCTAGGAAAGAAATAGGGACTACGTACGTGGGGTGATGTGTGCAGCAGCTTACTGCAGAGAGAGGGAGGAGACAAGCAGCTTTCCTTATGGTGGGGGTAGAGGGGAAGACAGCAGCAGCTGACCCTCTGGAAACGTTTTTGTTGTTTTAGCTGAATGGGCATCAGTTGAAAGTTTAGTTCAGCCATCCAGGTTCTCAAACTAAACTTGAACTTAAGAAACAGTTGGCCAAATGAACGCTTATTAGAGTAGCCTGGAAGATGTAGTAGAAGCAGCCACATTTAGAGAATGTAAAAGGAAAAGACATGGTGATTTTACAAGAAGTCCTGTAAGAAACTTGAGTGTAGACAACTTGCATTTCAGGATCATTCTGAAAATGCTATGGCTCAAATATGAGGTAGACACTGAGAATAAAGAACATTGGAAAGCAAAAGGAGAATGATATAACTAGAATTCAACGAAAAGCTTTCAAATGAAGATATTTCTGATGATTCTTAGCAAAACATAACACAGCATATCCACGGTTGAGTCACAGCTGGCACCTCTATGGGGCACTCTGTAAACCTAGGACTAGTCAAGCGAACTTTACCAACTCATTTCAAGGAGAGGTTCAATGAATGTTTAGACACGGTTGCCTCTTCAGGAGGTATTAACACTTGTCCTACAGGTGTTCAAGGTACACAGCTTTGAGTATGTTAATGCCTCGTCCATGGAATCACGAGCACAAGAAAATTAAGGCAATTATGTCAGATTCAAGAGAAGTCAGGCAAAGAACTCTTAACAATCTGTGGGTAGTGCTAATTTTGCAAAGGATCCGATGGCTGAAAAGAGAAGTTCACACCCAGCCAGGCTGTACGAGCCTAACATCAAAAAGAGGCAAGAGACTTCAAAAGAGGATTAACAGAAAACCTGACTTCCAATTAGTTTGTTTTCCGAATCAGAAAGTTGCAACACAGTATTGTTAAACTGATTTCCACCGTGCAAACACAACCCGTGATTTCATTTCTTCTTACCTGTTTGCATTTGTCCTCAGCTGCCTTCTTATCTGTTTCAGCCTGTTCTGCTCTGTCGATGGCATTCTCCTTGTCTAACTTCAACATCTGCATCTTTTTCTTGATAGCTTCCATTTTTGCAACAGGGTAGGTTGTATCTGTCACGCAACTAAAAGAATTCCAAAAAGTAAAGGTTTGGGTGTTTAACAGCTTGGGCAGAGAAAGAAGTTGCACCCAGCCAAGTCACAGAGAAAATGAGCTCAAGTGGTTGTAGAGAGCTTTAAACCCAGAGACCCCTGGACAAAACCCAGATCTACTGGCCTCTTCTCTGAGCTTTCATACACAGCCTTTCTAAGGAATGAGCTGGAACAGACTCACTAGAGGAATCTTCAGCACTCCATCATCTCCTTATTTGGGTCCTGTTTTCTTAAAGAGAGAACTGTTTCCATTTTTAAGCTTCTGACAGAAGCCAAAGTGTTGACATCTGAACACATGCTTGCAAGAAAGCTTATTAGCACCCCTCCGTGTTTGCAGAGCAATTAAACAGCCCAACAGATCCACGGGGATGGCCTGGCTTCTTACAATGATGGCATAAGACTAATGAAGGAAAGGATCTTTTTGGATCACTCGAAAACACATACATGCATTTATGTTAAAAATATGCAGGGTATGGTATGAGACAGCAGGATTCGCGTGTGCTTTTTATCTTGTCCTGTGAAAATAAGCACTGGTGTTCAGGAGCCAGCGATAATCTGTAATGGTATAACACGTAACAGAGTCAGATTGAGACACCGAGTTCAGGCTCAAAGGCATTTGGTGAGTTTGAGCGCCTGCCTTTGAAATTTCACTTGCTAAACACTTAGGAAACACAATGATACACCTGAAGTTGCAGCCTGATGAGCACCATACATCATTTCTTCTGCGGCGTGAAGGAGTCACCTTCTCTCTATCAGGCAATGCAAGAGCAGGCCCTGGGAGGCACATCAGGAGCAGCTCCACAGAGGACACTACCAAGGGCATCCACGGCCCCGGGACAAGCCCTGTTTCCTCTTGCAGTGCTGCTGAACACATCCCCATGCCCGCTGCTGCCCGCTCCTACCCCTCCTATCCCTTCCTTAGCTTTACAGCCCGGTACCTGCTTTGTGCTGGCTGCAGCAAGGGCACTCGCCGCCTTTCCTGCCCAGGGACCTGCGTGCCCTCGTGTGCCCCCGCTTCTGCCCCACATTCCGGTCCCGTCAGCCTGATTCGGCTCCGGCTCTGCCCTCCACAGCCCCGTGTTCCCCCCAGGCCACGCACAGCCCATGCTCCCTGCACACATCATGGGGGGCACCAGCGGACTCGGCACAACACCCAACTCCCTTATATCATAGAAGCACGGAATGGTTTGGGTTGAAGGGACCTTAA